GTGGTAAACAGTGCTACTCATTACTTTCTTTACTAGGAACCAGACTTTGAAATGGATATGGAAGACCTTGCCGTGCCTGGCCCACAGGAGGCATTACATATTTACATACTGTCTTCCTTGTGTTCTTGCCTAGCACTGAACTAACAAATTCGGTGGGAAGCCTAGCAGTTAAGACACTGAGACCTGCTTCCATTGCCCATATCCCTGACATACATTTGAGAATCCCAGTTCTGTTTCTGTCAGCTGCAGTTTTCTAAAATAGCGGATGGTGCATTCCGTCTTCCCCAAGGTAGTCTGGAATGAGTGAAAATAGCCTTCAGGGACATCTTTATTCCTGAGAATTCTTCTTGCCCCTGAGCATTTCTGCTCCTGGAGTCTGACCCTGGTGTCGGTAGCATCTCTTGGGTCACCTCAGCAACAATAACTGCAGTGTGACTGATTGAGGATAGGGAAGCTGAAGCTGGACTAATTTGGGGAGCCAGGTAGGCTCATAAACCGTTGTTATTGATGAAGAGTGACTTACTGGCTATTTAAAGACAGCTGGTTTCCGTACTGTTCAGCTTTTTTCCTGAATGCACTTGAGGATTCTTTGGTAATGTCTTCTGATTTACCACTTGTCTTTGTTTTTAATATCAAGGAAGAATATAGATTGAAGCAATTGTCTTGGTAGCAACTTTAGTGATGATGACTGTGGAGTTATTAAAATTTATAGTCATGCTGTTTTTGCAGCTACCCTTTGCATTTCTTAGAGAGGCTTATAATATTTGGTTACAAAGAATGTAGAGAGATAGCAACTCAACCCTGCATAAATTTTTTGAATATATGTTCTGTTTGCTAAAATTTACATCTATTTTCACAATATGTCTTGATGACAGTGCCCACCAAGCCAACTAGGCCTTAGCTCATGACACGACTTTCAATTACACTAATGAGGAGAAAGAAGACTGACATTTTTGTGGATCCAAAATTATCCACAGTGACATGCCAGGTGCTTCACATATCTGTGCTCTCCTATAACCCTCACAGCAAGCTTCAGAGGTAACAACTGGCCCCTCTTTCCCTCCACACATCCCTTCATGAAAGAGAAATCAGAAGTAAAATAACCAGACCAGGGTCATACAGCTTTGAGAGCCATTGCTGTTATTTGAACATTTATTCTATTGAACCAATTAATTTCTCCAAAAATCAGAGTGTTACATCTGATCAGATGATTGGGTGGTTCCTTCTCCTGCTCTGTTTTATCTCATATATTTATGTAATGTTTTATTACTTATAAAGTACCATCATATTATATCATACTTACAACAGCCCTATGAAGTATGTAATGCTGGTATCCTGTCCCTACAGTGTATTATCAAGAAATGGCTTCAGAAAAATCAAGTAATTTGCCCAAGGTCAGTCAGGTCTGACACCAAAGCCAATGCTTTTGTTCCCTTACATCTTCTCTTTTCTAGACACACGAGCCAGCAGAGTTGATCTGCATGGCAGCTGAGCATGATAGATTCAAGCCTGGGCAACTCTATGGGTATTTGCCATAAGGCTTCCGTGACTTCTAATGAACTGAAACAAAGCAGTTAGCCACAGATTATAATGCCACTGTGGTCCCATGACAAATGACAAGGAGGTTGCAGTAATGAAATTTTATTACTGTAAATAGAGAGACCACATCTGAGGTCTAGCACAGCCACATTTACCACTGTGGGAAACAAAATGAAACACCTGGGGAAGGGTCTCCACTGACTTTGGCAGTGAGCTAACAGGATTAAGAAGATCTCCCGGAAACAGTGATTACAATGGCAAATGTGTGGCACCTAAGATAAGGACCAAATATTTATTCTGGCAAGATTAAATCTTTTCTTTTCCTGAATCTAATATGGATCTTGCAGAAAATCTGCCCAAGAATATATCTTGCTGATCAGCCAATTCACTGAGCCAGAACCACACTTTGCCACTGCTATCGCTGAAAAGCTACAGAATGCTGGTTTAAAGGTCTCTATGCTTCCCCTAAAACTGTTTTCCATCCATGATTAATTAGTGACGTAGGGGTGAATTGAATTACCAGCAGTCCTTTCCATACATCCAGGATTTATGTACTGGTTTCTCACTGAAGAACAGTGGTGCAATAAACAGCCCACATCTGTGGGGTGGGCAGAGGAGTAATGGTGTCTGCAGTCATGGTTTCTTAACTCCTCTAGTACTTCCATTCTGCTCAGCAGGTTATGGCTCACATTATTACAGCCTTGCTTATTTAGGCATGAGGGTAGTGGGCAGTGACACACACATGCCCTTAGAAATAGAATACCAATTCTCCAAGAGAAAGCAGAAAAGTCACATTGGCATTTCCGAATTCCTTGAAAAATAAGAAGAGAGAATAAAATGGGTAATAGTATTAATTATGGGCATGAAAAGTACAAAAAGAACCCATAAGCAGGTTCATTTATCCATGCATCATATTTTAAAGCTAGGTGCTTTTCCTAGTGCAGAGATGTAGATAGTGGTTTCAACAAACAGATTTAAGAAATCATGAGTGTGTTTAGTCACAATTTTGGGAGCTACCTGGAACTCTTTTCCCAGAGAACAGAACATGGGAATTGCAGACATCATTTTATATTGCATGCTATGTAATCAGGGCATGAAGGAAATACTGAGGTCCACCCTGTATCTCTGCATCCTTGAATGCTCACAGCCTGCTTTGGTTGATCATTCTATATTCCTCACTTCTAAGGTCAAGACTCATTGGTGACTTGTCCATTCTTTTATTGGATACAAGATGAATTGACATACTAAGAGATAAATGGAAACTTGAGGAAAGTCTGCAATTTGGGAAAATAAGTGAAGTGTACCAAACTATATGTAGAAACCAGTGTCCCTCCCTCCAGAACGCTTAATTTGTTGACTTTAAGTGTAGTAGGTGCTTAATAAATTTTGTATTTGTGTATTTAATGAATACATGAATGAATGAGTAAAATAAATGACTAAAGCTGAGATTCAGCGAAACTTTTCTATATCTTGATTTATATGGATTCTGGACTTCTTTTCTCACATTCTTCTTTTTCTCTTCCTCCTCCTCCTGGTTTTTCTCCTTCCCTTCTTTCTCCTTCTTCTTCTTGAATAAAAAAATAGACGATAACAAAGGATCATGAACTAATACTGTGAATCAGTCTTATAGAATGTCAGAATTACTACTGATATGGTTTGGCTGTGTCCCCACCCAAATCTCATCTTGAATTGTAGTTCCCATAATTCCAATGTGTTGTGGGAGGGACCCGGTGGGAGGTAATTGACTCATGTGGGCAGTTACCTCCATGTTGTTATCATGATAGTGAGTGAGTTCTCATGATATCTGATGGTTTTATGAGGGGGTTTTCCTCTTTTGCTCGGCACTTCTCCTTCCTGCTGCCATGTGAAGAAGGAGGTGTTTGCTTTCCAGGCCTCCACAGCCATGCTAAACTACTAAATTTTGTTATCCTTGAATGCCCAACATATTGCCAATAATTTGGAAAGCTAAAGAAATTGAGCAAGATGTCTCCCTTCTCTCCTTACACATGCCTCCAACACCCTGCAATGCTATAATGGCTTTCCAAGAGCTTAAAAGAGGCTGATTATATTTGAACAGTAAGGTTACATTTATTTCATGTCTCATTATGAATACTAGTTCCAACTTTTAGTCATAATGAATTATTAGAGAAGAGTCAGAGTTTTAAAAGCATTATTATGTATGCTTCGTGTTTTAGTGCACTTCCCAGGGGGTTGGTGATATCACCACTACCATCACCATTTGCATCATTATTATCTGTATTAGTCCATTCTCACATTGCTATAAAGAAATACCTGAGAATGAGTAATTTATAAAGAAAAGAGTTTTTAATTGGCTCACAGTTCGGCAGGATGTTTAGGAAGCATAGCAGCATCTGCTTCAGGGGAGGCCTCAAGGAGCTTCCAATCATGGCAAACAGGGGAGGAGGAGTCTCACATGACAGGAGCAGGAACAAGAGAGACACAGGGAAGATGCCACACACTTTAAACAACCAGATCTCGTAAGAACTCACTATCACAAGAACAGGACCAAGGGAATGGTACTAAAACATTCATGAGAAATTGTCCCCATGATCTAATCACCTCCCACCAGGCCCCATCTCCAACACTGGGGATTACAACTGAACATGAGATTTGGGTGGTGACACATCCAAACCATATGGTTTCTTCATTGTCATAGTGTTACTCATATCAAGTTCATTGCAATTTCCCTTCTGACAAGTCTTTAGTGGCCACAGAGGTCCTCTTCTGCTCTGTTGCATAAGCTCTGGTCTTGAATATATTTCTCTTTGGATTAATCTGAGGAGTAGGGCTACAAGTATGGGAAGCATGGCAGCCATCTAATTCTGAAAATTCTAGGTCAGTTTCACTGGCCTCTATTGGGGTTACCTTTTCTATGTGGTTTGGAACTGCAGAACCATTATGTGCATGTGTATGTATGTATGTGTGTGTGTGTGTGTGTATAAACATATATCCAGCTCCTCTGACATTGGCTCCTAACCATTCTGTACCCCTTCCCTTTGCCTTGATTGCATGAAACTATGCTGACAAGTTCATACATATTTCCACTTTAATTGTAAATCTGAATTGATAAATGATTTAAGGTCTGGTGTCTTAGTGTCCTCTCTTAGTAAACAGGCCTAATTCATCTCACAGAAACAAACAGAAACAAACTTTGCATTGTCATGGCATAGCTACTAGGTAGTTCCAGGCCTGATATGCATTGAGGGGAATTGAATGATGTAACCTGTGCAGTACAGCCTGGGAGAGCAATTTGGGTGGTTTATGCCATTGGTTTTTATGCTTAGGATGAAAACTCATGGAGAAATATAGAATACTATTATCTTCATGCTGACAGCTCCCTCTGGGCACCTACAGGTTTATTGCTGGTTGGAGGATCAAATTTAAAGGGAGATAACTTGGTGGTTGGTGATAACTATGCCTTTTGTGTTTCTTTATTATAGGAACAGGGGAAAATTGGAGTTGTCTTCAATATCGGCACAGTTGACATCTCCATCAAAGAGGACAGAACCCCTGTAAATGACGGCAAATACCATGTGGTACGCTTCACCAGGAACGGCGGCAACGCCACGCTGCAAGTGGACAACTGGCCAGTGAATGAACATTATCCTACAGGTACATGTTGCTCGCTCAATGGTCCTACTCTTTTTGACGCTCCCATTCTCACTTTTCAATGGTGATTTTTCTCATGACTATCACCAAATTCTAAAACACTGAATGAAGTACACATTCATGATTTTTTTTGTATCAGAAGATAAGTTATCTCTTTAGGACTTGATCCAGTATAGGGAGCTTCTGGAGACTTTACCAACTATGCACTGGACACTTTTTGTCAACCTTTGACTGATACAGCCTGACTGGCTCATACCAAAGACAGTTACCGTAGATTTTGCAGGGCCTGTAGATGAGGAGCAGTGAAGGGAAGGATCATCTCTATCATGAGCTAGTGTCAATAATCGTAAGATGCTCCATTTGAGACTCAGACTTTGTGGTGCCATTTAGTTGGGTGCGGTCGAAGGTGCAGATGCCAGAGAGAGACTCTAAAAGGAGATTTACTGAACTTGAAGACACAGATCAAGTCATGGTAACGGTGAGAGAAAAACTTAAGGGTGGAATTGTATTCATTTGGTGGACTTTGCTAGTTTTTATTTTCTCACTTACCCTAAGCCTGCCTTGATATTCAAAGGGTGGTCCTAGTAGTCATTTTAATAGCAAGCATGCTGGTGTGGCAGGAAAAGGGGTTAATCATCTGTTTAAATTTTACAGTCAAGAAACATTCAGCAACAAATTCCCAGAGCCAGATGGCTGGATCAAGGACAATGGGAGAAGAGGTTGCCTTCCTTAAAAGAGATCATTCAAATAATCCCTCAGCTTTCCCTCTTGCCTCTCACTTCTCCCAGGAAAAGTCCTGAGTGCTGATTGTAAAAGCGCCAGGAATGGAAGGGACAATCTTCGGCAAAGGGCCGTTGCTCCACAATTGCACAGTCACCTGATGGATGCAAGAGAATAGTCAGAATATTAACACTTCTCACTAATGTGGGCATGAAGTGATGTGCAACTCTCTATCCTACACACCAAACTCCCTACAATGTTCTCACCACGTTTCTCGAACTTCCTTTACAGTGAGGTGGGCACAATAACAAGGAAGCCTGAAGCACATTTTCACACATCTAAAAGCCATTAGCTAATCCTGGTTATGCTTGTGAGAAATATACAAAGTAAATTGCCTATTTGTAGGCTAAGACTTTTGAATGGCTTGAAGGCTGTGATTGTATCTCCACACCTAACTCAGCATTAATTTTCTTCTTTAAAAGCCTATCAGAAGTATCTGCGCTGTTGGGTTGTTCCCTAATAGCTAGAGTCCTGCTATATCTGTTTAAGAATTGTAAGAGCATCTGGAAACAGCATGCAAGACCCCCAAGGTACTGAGGCAAAAAGCCCCACCTACTATTGATTTGCCATCTCAGTTTGCATAAAACAGCCAGCTCAGCCATTGCTGGGGGGGGTCACAGAACTTCTTAGATCAGCCATTGCTGGGGGTCTCAGAATTTCTTAGATTAAGGCACGAAAATGCCCTTATGAGGTTATCTTTGAGTATTTGAAGAAAGCCAAAGTTATTAACAGCTTCTATGAATTTTTATCATTCAAATTCACTACACACTAATAGACTTAATTTTTAAATGCTTCTTCCTTAATCCCTGATGGATGGGGGAGAGGGTGAAAGGAATAAAAACAGCCCAAATCTTAAAAGCTGTTCATAGGCTCATAGAAAAAAATCAGTCTCTCTCTCCATATGTGTTATCATTGGCCTTGCTAGTGCTGCTGAAGGGTTTGCTGTGTTTCTATTAGGAATTTCAAAGATTTCTAAATTGATGTTAACCACTTGCCTTGAGCCAATATAGAATCTACAAGTTTGCTGCCAGCAATGAGAAGGCTCTTTAATGGTTATTTTAAAGCCACAGCCATGTTAAGAAAACCGGAGACTCTTGCTGTGCGCCTATCTTTTTGTGTCTTTAGTTCCAAATTATGGGTTGCTTCCTATATGTTTTCAAAACAGAATAAACCTTTCTTTAATAGCATTGCTTCCTCCTGAAAACTATTATTATAGTTAGAAACTGTTATTTAGTAACAATATGTGTTATTATTACAGGACAGGGTACAGTATAGCATTTCTAAGTATGGGCCTTGGAGTCAACTGGCTAGAGTTGGGATCTTGGTTTCATCACCTGTGAGTCTAAGGCAGTTGGATTAAGACCTTGAAATGTCCTAAGCATTGAAATATTTGGTGCCTCTCCCCACATGTAATTCAAAATACAGTAACACTGAACCATAAAATAAGTGTAAGAATTTCTAAGAGGTTTTATTTTTCTCCTCTGATGACTTCTGTAATGCTTTCAAAATATATTAGATTCTTTCTTTGCAAATTCTCATTTTGTACTTTCTCTGTTTTGTTGTTCTTTAAGAAGATGTTCATTCTTCTCCTTGAGCCTGTTTCCTAGTCTGGATAACCAGGGTAATGATAATACCTGGTAAATGTGAAGATTAAGTGAGTTAGCTACATGTATAATGCTGGGCCAATTAAATCAATCCTCAATAAATGTTAGCTGTGAGATTTACCAAACATTTGGCTAGCATTTTAAATTAGGACATATTTTTAAATACAGATTTCTTCATTTTGATGGTAAAATACCCTATAAATACCCTATAAATTGGATAGAGTAGATGCTTTTTATTCTCCATTTCAAATAAAAACAGAGACCCAAGGAGGTGCTATGCCCTTCCTAAGGTCACACAGCAAGTAAAGGAAGAACTAGGACCAGATTTTTCTGTCTCCAATTGGGCACAATTTTCACTATTGCTCCCCCGGAGAATTGGGGGATGTTCTGAAAAATACATAGCTAGAAATGAGCATTTTTTCTTCTTGTGCCATCTTAGATTTATTTCTTTCTTTAAAGAAGTGTCATATCTCAAAGGTCACTTCCAATGATCACACAAAAGTGGTTATTGTGAGATGTGGAGTTCAAAATTCTCATTTAAAAGTTTTATTGGCACCAGTGACCCCAAGCTGTCCTCCTTACAACAATGGCAATGTGCTCCCATGAAGCAGTTAAAAGAATACTGAGTATTTAAAGGAGCTATCCCCTTACCTTGCTGCCTCGATTAAAAAGTTGTGTGATATACTAGATTGAGTTTTATGTTCCACTCTGCCAAGACTTCCTAGGAGCAGCTCACTTTTTGAGTCTTGGATACCTTATTTTCTCTCCTGTCTGCTTCCCTTTGCTATTAAAAGGATCAATTTAACTATTAATAATTTAAAATATCATGAGAATAATCTGGCAATGTTTATTTTAAATCATAAGATCAAAATGCCCGGTGTCTGGCCATGAAATAACCAAGCCATCAACCTGGCGAGGCAGTCTTGACACAGTTTCTACAAAAATGTGTCGTCTTGTTTTCTAAAGTCATTCTAGTCGATAACAGTAGGTTTAGAAATCATCAAGGGTTTAGTCTCACTACTCACTTATTACTAATGTTTAAACAGTAAAGACATACAGAGTAGCTCCTATGGAAGATTTATGTAAGTTATCTCACTTGGAGACCATGCTCTCGGGGAATTGTTCCTGCCTACCAGGTCTGAATGAGTCAGCTGTGCACCAGGATGAATGGGTCATGTCCACAATCTTCTCATGGGCATTTATGGGGCTCTACTGAAACATCCCACCGTGAAATATTTAGAACCCAGCTGGGCACAGGGCATGTAGCATTGGCTCTTTGTGAATCAGGGAGGATACAGAATGAAAATAGTTCTATAGCAATCCGAATCTTATATCACTAAATTCTGGGAGATAGAACTCAAAAGCAACTTCTTTCTTTGAACCTCAAAATAGAAAACCTAAGAAACAGCAGAGTGAAATAAAAGAAGAATCAGCCCGGAGCTATCATCCAGGCACTGACAAATGTCCCTTATAAAGTCTCTGATTGTTGTCCCTATACAATGCGGTGGTAGGAACAAGGGAGGGGAGGTGAAAGGTGACTTGAGTATGAGGAATTAATTTTAGCCACAGCTCTAGGCCCCCTGGAAGGCTGAGCTGACTGGGATTGTTCAATATCTTCTCTCTGCTGTGAGTGGGTGGCCGGTGGTACTGTCACTGCTGTAAGACCCCTGAGCATGGTCCAGTAAAGGCTTTTCCGGTCCTATCTAGGTTTCCTGGGAAATGCAGACTGATATGCAGCTTCAATCTTTGCATGCCAGGGGGTGCTGAGGAGAGCAGGGTCTCAAGTAGCTTTTTTCTTGATATTGCATACCAACTCAGTTGAAGTGCTCTTCGCAGAATTCCTCTTCTTCAGTCTTTAAAATGCACACGAATGACTATGTTTAAATCCTATTTGACCACCCAACTTAGAACATGAAAAAGAGGTAAAAGTCGCTCCCTTTCAAGGATGCTACATTAGAAAACTCTCTTTATATTTGAGTTTGTCAAATTTCACAGAACCTTGTTTTTATAGGGATTGAAAGAGAAAACATTATAGTACTTACTGATGATCAAAATACCTTCATATACATTATTACATTTGAGACTCACTCCATCCTGTGAAGGACAGGGTTTGGTATTATTACTCCTGCCATACCCATTGTAAGATTACATTATTAAGGCTCTGAAAGACTAAATAAATTTCCCAGTGTCACACAGCTTAAGGAGCAGAGTCAACCCTTTTCTATCCTGATCCTCAGACTGCACAACTTCAAACTTTCTGCTCACTTTCGTATTGCTCAGAGCCATGATTTTATTAATAATGACAGTATTTCTTCTTGTAAAAACATACTCTCAAATGGAAATCTCTGCCTGGAGTAGTCTAGTTAGTAAGGTCTTTCAACCTATTGACATTTGAGACTGGACACATCTTTGCTGTTGGTGTGTAAGGGATGGGGAGGGGTACTGTTTTGCACATTGTAGGATGTTTAGCAGCATCCATGACTTTTACCCCCCTGGATGCCACTCTCATGTTTCCACAAGTGCCAAATACCCTCTGGGCACCAAAATCACCCCCATTTCAGAGCCGCTGACTTAGAGAAAGTTTGCAATATATTTTGTTGTAAATGCTCATCATGTTTT